CCCCCTGATGTAGGCACTGGGTCACAGAGCCCTAGGACAAGTCCTCAGATCACTTTTCCCTCCAGGACCCTCTTGGACAGTTCTGTGGAAACAGAAGAATTCCAACAAGAGTGGAGGTACAGAAGAGTCAACAGAACTTGCACTCCCCCATAGCACAATTCCTCCTGTTCTCTGAGGACCAGAACAGTTATTTTTGGTCATTCCCTGGTATAGTTAATATTGTCCCCTTTTAAAATTTTTCTGTCTATATGCTCTTAGATTTTTATCCTTCTTGCTCTGACCCACACCCCCTTACTGTTCCCCGTCTTGGTCTATCGATTTGCTCAGTCTCATCCAGACCTTCCAGAAGCCAGACTTTCCTTTTTACCCAGTCAAATCCCTCCTCCACCTTCTTTAGCTTTTTCTCTCCCAAGCCTGAACCCCCAGTCAGTCTTCTCAAGGTTACTCTTGACTCATTCACTCCTTTAATACTTTACTGCGTCTTGACAGTTCTTGATCCACACATCATGTCCCCACATGGCTATTTCCACTGTGCGGACTGCATCACCTCTTTAAGGCTGGGCCTGAGGAGTTGGTCAGCAGAGTTCTAGGCCCTCAGTGTGCGTGGATTTGATGGTCTCATTTTATCTCTTAGAGGCCTCAAAGCCATCGCGACAGAGATCTTTCCTCCCAGTATGTGCTGGGAGGCGAATGGGCGATGGACCTAGAACAGCCCAGGAGCCGCCATCTGCTTCTGCCTCGTGTTCTTCACTCCTTGTCACGCCCACTGTCACTCTCCTGAAATAAAACTGAGAGGGAAAGGTGACGTCTAAAAAAACACACTCCTGGAGTCAACACGGTCACCAGCCTGAGGATTGTTCAGGAAATCGGCGATCCGCTGGAATGGCCTTGAGGAGCGAGCCAAGCATAGGCATTTCTGTACTTGAACTTTGCTGTGTTTGGCTTCCTTTTCAGCCTGCCTTGGCAGGTGTCCCAGAGCACTTTTTCACACTCTTTCCTAAAGGGTCTGATTTCCCCTGTCCCTGTTAAGCCCTGCTGTGTCCTCCAGTGGACCCTTTCCTCACCTCCCCCAGCTTCGTCCTCAGGTGCCCTCCTTGTCTCCTTTTGAATCAGTCTTTTCTCTCTATAGCTGAGCTTAAATCTCATGGCCTGTGTCAAACCTTTTTGGATCATCCATCCTTAGAGGTCACTGCCCTGCGGCCTTAGACTGTTTGTGCGGAGGTGTGCGTGTCCCCCAGCCACTCACGTACCCGGCACGTACCCATTATTTCAGCTGAGGCCCCCGACAAGTTGCCTATCACTGGTCCGCAAACCACCATGCCAATCCCAGTGCCTTACATACAGTGGGCATTCGATTTGACTTAACATCAGCACAGGTGATAATAGTGACTGGGATGGGGTATTGGAGTCAAAGGGAAAAACCAGTGATAGAGATGATACAAGTTCTGTTAAACTGGGGTCATGAAGAAATTTTGGTCCAGTTCTCAGGAGTAGGAAAAGTGGACGCAGCTGGCTTTTAGGAAGACTGGTGAGCTTTGATTCCAGGTTCTGGTGAGGTGGGCAGGTGAGCCAAGTTTTTAGAGGGAGATGGGCATGTTTTGAGATTTTTTTTTTTTTGGTTCAGTTGGAAATGCCAATTGTCTAGTTGGAAATTTAGGGAGAATACCTGTGGATAGCATGTATTTTGTAACTTGTGTATTTTTCTTTTTTCTTGAATAGTGTCCCGAGCAAGAGAAGCAGCCCTAGACGCCCACTTTCTTGTTTTGGCTTCAGATTTGGGCAAAGAAAAAGCAAAGCAGCTGCGTTCTGATCTGAACTCGTTTGATATGTTAAGATATGTTGAAACCCTAGTAAGTTCAAAGCTACAGAATCTTAATAAAAATGTTTCATGTATCACATATTGTATAATTACCCACGTGGCTTATACCCATATGCAAATGGTTTTCACTTCATTTTTTACTGGTTTTTTTTTTTGCTCTCAGATTCCTTCTAAAAGATTTTACCAAATTAAACATGACCACAGAGCTAGGTGGGGGAACCTTGGTCAGGAGCTTAGAGCAGTTTGAAAATCTCTAGCCTTCTAAGGCTCTGGGTGCTATGTTAGTTTACAAATGGTCAGTTTTTCCTGAGTCACCTATCAGTTCATACGTATTCTAGCTCATTCTCGGTGACCTGGGACCTGTGCCCAGGGGCAGACAAAAGCCCACACTGCAGTTGGCAGAGCTCAGCTGGAGATGAGTTGGGTCTAGTGGAGGGGTGTGTTTCGGTCTGTCTTCGAGAATATTTCAGAACCATATGAATATTCTTGGGGTTTTGGTTTTTGGGGGGTTTTGTTTGTTTAATTCTCCTTTCTTTGCTTTTTAATAAGTTTGAATGGTTGTTACTTGAAATTTTGTAACTTGTCCTCAATGGCTTTACCCAAAAAAGCACAGTGAGACTGACCTTGTGCCTTACTCTGTTTTCTTTTATTCTTGATTCTACTCTGAGCCAACCTCTGTCCTTGCGTTTCTGTTAGGACATGGAATTTCTGACTGGATGTTTGTTAAGTGGTTATTAAAATGATTTAATACCATGAGATCTGACCAGATATATTAATTATTTGTAAAGGTATGAGGTTTTTGTTGTTTTAAAAACCTTAATTTTTTTTTAAATTTAGATTTAACTTATATTTCAAACCTTAAATTTTCCTTTTTCTCTTGACATTTTTATTTCCAAGTATAATGCGTTTTTAAAAAATGCAAACTAATATCTGGCTCAATGAAGTGACCCTGTATTGGGTTATCTTCTTTAAAATTACTTTTATTGATCAGGATAAGCGCTGTACTTTAACATTTCAAAATAAATCCCAGAAGTCTTCAAGAATTCCATATAAAATCCTGTCTAGTATCCACATAGTGAAGAACTTTCCAAGTATAACACCAAATGTAGAGGCAATAAAGAAAAGATGAGTAGATTTGACCAGACAAAAATTGAAACGTCTTCCTACAAGTAAGTGTGCGGCAGTGGACAGAGTAGCAGGAGAGCTGAGGGGAGCCGACGTCACCGTAGTTCACTGACTGCGTTCTCGCAGCCTCTCTTTTCTTCAAAATTGGATTCCCTTTAATAGGGTTGCACTCTCTGAGGGCTTTTTGATGTTGTTTATGTGTGATATTATCATTTTAATTGGATAACTTGGAGGCATTTTATAATTTTATAATGTAATACAAGTATATTTCCATAAAAGCAAATTTAACATAATATGTTTTCTGTAAGATCGTTTGAGAGAAGAGAATTATTAGGCTCCCTCCATCTCTTCCCCGGAAGGCAGTGTCCCGGTGAACAGTTCTCTCACTGGTGCCAGGCCACTGCTGACCAGATGTGCTGAGATGCACGCCGAATAGAGGTCTTTAGGAGGTTGGCTAAAAATGAAAAGCTGAATGCCAGCTCAGCTTCCCTGTTCTGCCTTGCAGCTTTTGATTTGGGATGTGATTTCATATTTTTATAGTAAACGAGTACATCTTTACTAATATTTTACAAATGAACTATTAGGAATCCAGAAATTCCCAGTGGGCTCAGTTCTTTTGGCTTCCCTAAACCCCACAGCCTGCCGTGGGCTAGAGCCATGGCATTGGGGACATTGGGGGCTGGGTAAGTCTTTGATGTGGAGGCCGGTACTGTGCACTGTAGGATATTCAGCAGCATCCTGGCCTCCACCCACTAGATGCCAGGAGCACCTTCCCACACAGTTGTGACGACCAGAAATGTCTCCAGATGATGCCCGAAGGCCCCTGGGGGGCAGGGTTGCCCTGGTTGAGAAGCACTGGTCTCCATCATCTCACTTTCTCAGCAAAAGGTTCTCAGTCCATTGAGAAATATCTGCTGCCCAAAGAAGGGCCTTTTGAAAACAGGAATTTATATATAAAATTATCTTTGTAATAAGACATTTAGCCAACATGTTTAGACACTGAAACAGACTTTGTCTTTGACCTCTTAAAGTTTAATGATGCAGATTATTGGATGTGGTCAATGATTGCTTGTGGCTTAACTGGGGTTTTTTGTTTCCCTTCGTTTTTGTAGCTGACACATATGGGTGTAAATCCGCTAGAAGCTGAAGAACTCATCCGTGATGAAGATAGTTCTGATTTTGAATTCATAGTCTATGACTCCTGGAAAATATCAGGCAAAACAGCAGAAAACACCTTTAATAAAACCCATACATTCCACTTTCTGTAAGATTATTTTAAAACCCCAACAGATCAGCCATTTGTAAACCTGAAATTGTTTTTTGTTGTAGGGACAAAAGTTATTTGATATTGTAGAGGTGACGATCATGGTGCCACTGTTTGCCGACTTTTCTAAACGTTGATTGAAAGCCCATCAAATCTTTACGTGGGTGGAACCTCATCCTGCTTAACTCAAGCAGGAAAGGCGAGGCCAGAGCCTCTTCACCAGAACTCTCGGGCGCCTTTGCTTTCTGACATGGGAGACTTTGGGTCCCTGACCTGTATTCAAAGACTACTCGAGTCACCGTTACATAAACTGCCCAGTTCATTTTTTGGAAACAACTCTAATTTTGAAAAGTTTTTTTTTTATACTCAGATGAAGTCGGTGTCTGTCTTCATTTCCTAGCTGAGTCCAATGGAGACTCTTAAGCCCGGCTCTTACTGGTTCTTTTGTGAGACAGCGTTCAAATATGTTGGTTGTGTTCCCCAGTAGGTGCTTTGTCTAGGGTCTCCACCCAACCTCTTTCTTCCTTACGTGGTATAGCTCCTGGGCATTTGTCTGTTCTGACTCACCCTGCTAAACCTCCTGAGATTGTTCGTGTCTCAGTTAGAAGGCTTTGGAGACGCAGTGTGTAGGTCTGGGGCCAGACATCTGTTTTTCACAAGCCTTGGGGTAACTCAGGTGCCCAGAACCACTTTGTGCTATATGGTATAGCATAAAGATCAAACTTCTTTATTATAGGATAAATTCCAAGTCTTGGTATTTAGCTGTTGAGTTCAGGCTCTGGCATAAATCCTAGACCTAAGGCTAGCCTTTGGTGGTGTGACTTGAACTTGATCTCATCATGTTGCCCAACTTGCATCTGCAATGAATTACTTAGAACCCTGTGGCCCTGCACTTGCTGTTTCCTTGACCTTCAATGTTTCCCCCCCATCTTTCCATCTGATGGGGTTTATTTATCCCACAGGCCCCACCTTGGAGCCTCTAGTAACTTCTCCAGACAGAGATACCAGGGTAGAATCAGATGTCCCAAGCAGATTACTTCCGTGTCTGGGGAGACAGCTCTGCTCAGAGGCTGTCGTAACTCTTGAGTGATACTCCAGGTCGGCACTATAGGCCGACCACAGTATGCTGAGATCTGAGTGCATGAGTATCTGTCTGTTTACAATGTTATACTCTGAGCTCTTCAAGTATAGGGACCACGTGGGTCTCAATTCTTGGGACCTTGGTCTCTACATGATACATCTATTACTGTAGCTTAAGCCTGTATTAGGGCTTTCTGAGGAGGTGGAGGGAGTCCAGAAGGGAAAGGAATGCCATGGCATCTGCTGACCTGTAATCCTGACAGGTGTGTTCTTTGGTCGCAGGCTACGAGGCTCCTCCCTGGCACAGCTCGTGCAAAGGCTTTTAACCCCAGTGGAGCTGTTTATTCCTCTCCCCCACATGTTTGTCCTTCCCCTAATCTCTGAAGTTGGCTTTGCAAAACAGACAGACAGCAGGCTAGCTGGAAAAACAGACATTCGCTGTTCAGATGGGAAGGTGTTTGAGGAGGTCCCCAAGGTTGAACGAAGCTCCTAGTTCTTTCAGAGACTCAAGGGGAGGAGAAAGGATGTCACAAACCTGACAAGAGTCTTGGTCTGTCAGCTTGTATGTCACTGATGCCTGGTCCGAATTTGACTATACCATGGGAACTGCTCTCAGTTAGTGAAATCAGTTTGTTTAGAAAACAAAGACATGAAAGCGTGTTTTTCATTAGGTTGGGTTCAATACAAGGAGAAACCCCTGTGCCAAAGCCACGAACTGAACGTCCAAGAAAAGCTCCTGTGATAAAAGAACGGGGGCAAATGCCTGCCCAGGTTTGTTTTTATAAATGTTGCTTTTTTAAAACACCAGAAGTTAAAATAGCCATTAATGTAACGTATGTGCAATTTGGCCATGTTTTCTTAGCTTTCAGGTCTAGAGTCAGGTTTGGTCACTTGAATAATCA